ATATATATATAAATATTAAAATAGATTAATGTATATATGCATAAACAAATATAAAGTTCTTGTTGTAGGTTTTGGTTCTTTGTTAAAAACAAAAATTAAAGAGTATACAGTTTTTCTAAAACTACAGCCACTAAAAAAACGCAGCATGTGTGATAGAAGCACAGCAGCAGTGTTTGTTTTGCCATTTTTACACGAACCTGGTAATAAGGCATGTCTGTACATTAAAAAAACAAGAATAATTATTAATCCATGTTTATTTTCAAATCAACACTTTAACGTTCACTTGTATCTAAGGAAGGCTGGGGAGGTAAAAAAGATTAAGGGGTGGAATTAGGATAAGTTACAGCTCATGAGGTACTCCATCAGAGCATCTCTGACACCTCGGCCCTGCTCTCCATCTTGTGGGACAGAGACCAGGACGGGCTGTACGGCTGATTCTGCTTCAAGTTCATCGAGGTCATCCATTTTGGTTGTGTGTTGTTTTCCAGCTCTTCTTCTAATACATGTTAGTGGTGCTTAGAAAAGAGCTTAATGTAGCACTACCGCCACCAGCTGGTAAGGTGCTTTGATATTAATAATCCGCCCACTAGAGGTGAACAATCCGCCCACTAAACGGGAACTATAGGCAAAGTGGAGACACAAAAATAGAGGTCCCACTAGAACCGGACACAACAGGCTACAACAAGAACCAGACCTGTGGATACCAGGCTTTAGGCAGCATGGAACCACTGAGTATAGCTCCAGCTAGCGGTCCTCCAGCAGACCCCAAATAGCCTGGACTCTAGGCCAGTTGGTGTAATCATAATGCTAATGGTAAGCCCTCAGTTCACCACTGACCCATTCATGTTTTAAATCGATTTTCCTCACTCTGTGACACACCTGCTGAGAAGCAGATCCTGGTAATTGACAGTTACATAGTCCAAAACATGGAACTAGGGACTCCACTGACCATAGTCAAATGCTTTCCAGGGGCCAGAGCAGGCTGCAATGAATTCTACCTGCAGTGGTGGGCACGGTTCTGCTAATCTGCAAATAGCAGAACTAACTTTTCATTTAGCGGATTAACATTTTTGCTAAATTCGAAAACTTTAAACTTTAAATCTGGTAAATTCATGTTTGCAAATTTTTAAAGACAGCTTACCACATTCCAAATGTACAGGAAAATAGTGTTTATATGAAGCTATGCTATGTTATGCAAAGCGAAGCTAAGTGCCACCTGGTGACATCACCACCCTCACAGTGCTTTTCCCCCTCAAACCTCCTTCAAACAGTCTGACTCTTGGTGTCAGTTTACAGCCAATAATAGAGACTTTAACATAATTGCCAAACCAAACCAGAACAGGAAAATAACATGAAAAAAAAAAAAAAACATTTTAACACTCAAACATTGTAAAAAGTCAGAAACATTGCACACATAATTTCTACACGGCATGCTTTGCAATGCTCACATTGTCACTGTCAGAAATAATCTGTTTGAGGAGTTTCAGTCATGGTTTAGATTAGAGCTCATCATAGCACAGAAATAGCACTGATGAAGGTTACTAATGATATTCTCATGGCCTCAGAAATAGACGTGTCTACACTGGTCCTGTTAGACCTCAGCGCTGCATTTGATACAGTTGATCACAATATTTTACTACAGAGACTTGAATATGATTTTGGGATTACAGGAGCACCTCTAAAATGGTTTAAATCATATTTGTTCAATAGATGCCAGTTTGTAAATGTAAATAATGAATCTTCTTCATACATCAAAGTTAGTGATGGAGTTCCTCAGGGTTCAGTGCTTGGTCCAATACTCTTTAATTTATGTGTACATTAGGTACATTTATTTATCAGCATGTGATAAATTTTCATTGTTATGCTGATGATACTCATATTTATCCATGAAACCCAATGAATCCAATGAGTTACTTAGATTACAAGCATGTCTTGAAGACATAAACACAGGAATAACCATTAATTTAAACTCAGCTTTTAAACTCAGACAATATAGAGGTTGTGTTTTTTTTTTGCTGAAAATCTTATATATAATCTTTGCTGCCTTTCACTTCCTCTGGGTCGCATTAATTTAGCTCCAGTTCTAATCCAAAAAAACAAAACAAAAAACTGGTGTTATTTTTGATCAGGATATGTAATTTAAGCCCCACATTTAAAAAGTTACAAGGATCACTTTCCTCCACCTGGGTAATATCACAAAAATTAGAAACATATTTTCCAAAAATGATGCAGAAAAACTGGTTTGTTCATTTATCACATCTAGTCTGGACTATTGCAATTGTTTATTATCTGGGTATCCAAAAATTTCTTTAAAATATATTTGGTTGATCCAAAATGCTGCTGCCAGAGTTTTAACAAGAGGTTGTATCTTATCTCTCCAGATCATATCTCTCCAGTTTTAGCTTCTCTCCATTGGATTCCGCTCAAATTCAGAATATAATTCACAATCTTACTTCTAACATACAAAGCTCTCAACAACCCAGCTCCATCTTATATTACAGATCTTATTGTTCCATACTTTCCTAACAGAGCACTTCACTTTCAGAGTGCAGGTTTAGTGTGTTTTCTAGTTTCCAAAAGCAGAATGGGAGGCAGAGCTTTCAGTTATCAGGCTCCTCTCTTGTGGAACCAACTTCCAGTTTCTTTCCATGAGGCTGACACATTATTTACTTTTAAGACTAGTGCTGTCTTTTCACTGTCGTTAATGTGTTGTTCAGGACAGGAGATTGTGACATGATTTTTTTTTTTTTTTTTTTTGCAATGTGCTGGCTTTCATGGATTGATATATTTTACTAATTGGCATTTTATATTGTACATGAATGCTTTTTGTTTAGTGCCATGAGAATATTTTGTTGAGAGATGAGGCTAATTATATAAATTATATTGCAATATTCTGCCATTAAGTGGCTGCCAGTTAACCCATTAATTCATTTTCCATTAAGCTACCAAGGTTCAAGGTTCTTTAGTGTCATTTGCATCATATGCGGTACATGAGGTGGAATGAAATGCTGGTCCCAATTACACCTAAAAATAGCAAAAATATAAAGTATAAAAAGAAACAGTATACAAGGATCTAAGATATATGCTAAACATTAATAATGTAATGTGATATGGTGTTTTAAACAGCAGCCTGAACATGAGACTGTTGTGATCAGATGGGTATGAACACAGCAGCTTAAAGGCAAGAAATCAGCAGCATGGATAATCAGCAGCACACATAAGTCACATACTGTATCACCATTTCAAATGGCATTATGATGATTTTCCTGGTTAGGGATTCATGAGTCTAACGGCTTCAGAGAAGCTGTTCCTCAGCCGAGTGGTTCTACACTTAACGCTACGCAACCTCCACTGGTTGTAGTATCAGACTGGGCATCAGATAATTGTAATTTAATACTTAGCATGCCAGACATGTATTGGAGGTTTGCTAGTAGGCATTTGCTACAGTACGTTATTGGGTTTTCCATGTAATTTTTTTAAACAAACCCTGATAATAAAGATTCTTGAAGTTGTACTTGTAGTCTTTTTGTCTTTGTGAAGGTGCATTTGAGCAATTAGGGCCTTTGACAGTTGTGTGTTGTAAGATATTAGTTTGTGTTGTAACAAGATACTGTCTTAAAAAAAAGAAAATTAGTTTTTGTTGCAATTCAGGCATACTTATATTTTATGTAATCTAAATTAAATGTTTTAATGTTAGCAATCTTTGCCCACATTTGACTGTTTTAGTCACTTTTGGGTACCCTGGTTCCCTATATATCTTTTAAGTCTATGAATCAACAAATCAGAACATCTGTAATAAAGTAAAGTAATTGAAATCTGAAGTTATTTATTTTTCTGTGATCACTGAACAAGTTCCATACAGTATCGTGGGATAAATAAATACATAAAAAAAAACATTACTGGACCTCCACTTGTATCTTGCATTTCCATGTGCACCAGATCAGGGTCCACATCCACACCAGATACAGACCTGAAACACATAAAATAATAACATTAATAAGGGGAATTTCTGACCATTCTGTTAGAAATTAGACCTAAACTTATGTGATTAAATTTATAATTTAGATAAACTATAGGTGACCTACTATTTGCATATGATAGTTATGAAATGTCCCAGAACAAGTAGCCAATGAATGTAAATTTCCATAACTGAAACTATTGTCCTTTGGTACATTCAGTATTTATTTTGAAAATGGAGATCACCAAAATTCTCTGTTGTGTTTCCATGTGAACTTGCCATTACAGCATTTCAGAAGCAAGGATATTTGCACCTGTCTACCACGTTGTGTCTTAGAAACCCAAACAACAATGGAGCCATTTTTATCAGTTTTTGTACATCTGTTTCACTTTAACCAGATATTGTCAAACTCAAATTTTGATTGGTTGCTAAATGATAGCTAATTAATAACAATGTATATGGTATCAAAGAAAATAAAAAAGAACAGCTTTTCGGAGAATCTTTAACTATGCAAAAACAATATTTTTTCTATGTGCTTTATGTTTATTACATTTTAATTGAAAGGTGTCTTTCATGGCACTGGGGGAGACTGTACAATTAAAATACAATGTAAAATGCAGTTAAAATAATATTAACATACTTAACATGTAAATAGAACATAAATACAGCTAGTGTGACTACAAGGTTAGAGTGAATTAGCACATGAATAAGCACAAGAAGAGCGTTTTGATGTGGCATTTGAAAATGGAGATGGGAGAGTTTTTGATGTGCAGGGGGAGGGAGTTTCAGAGGTGAGGTGAATGACTGAATGCTATTGAACCCATTATGGTCAGATGAGCAAGTATTTTGGATAGGTTGGGTGGAAGAGGACGTCTTGGGAGTGCAAGTGGGTGTGTTGATGTGGAGGAGTTATGTGAAATACTGAGAGGCAAGTTTTTTGAGGGCTTGTATTGTTAGAAGCAAGATTTAAAACAAAATGAAATATTTAACTGGGAACCAGTGAATATACCATACCATACCAATTTATTTATAAAGCACTTTAAACAGTGACAAAGCACACCAAAGTGCTGTACAGGCACAAACAGAACAAGCACATAGCAACAGATTACATAACAGGACACCAAAAAGTAGAAACCGACAAAAACAATAATGGACAACAACAACAACCGCAACATGACTAACACAGTGTGATGCACACAGACTCAGCACAGGTCACACAGTGCAGAAAGCCAGGGCATAGAAGTGTGTTTTTAAGCGAGATTTAAAAACTGTGAGGGAGGGGGCCTGTCTAACGAGCAGAGGTAACTCATTCCAAAGTCTTGGGCCTGCTACAGAGAAGGCCCTGTCACCTCTGCGCTTGAGATGGGTTCCTGGGACTGTTAGGAGCAACTGGTCTGCTGATCTGAGAGAACGTGGTGGGACATACGGCTGGAGCAGATCAGTAAGATAGGAGGGGGCAGAGCTGTTTAGTGATTTATAGACATACAAGAGTGTTTTGAATTTGATTCGAAGGTGAACCGGAAGCCAGTGTAGGGAGGCCAAAACAGGTGTAATGTGCTCCCTTTTGCTTGTGCTGGTCAAAAACCGGGCTGCTGCATTTTGGACCAGTTGGAATCTAGCTATGGAGGTCTGACTGATACCAAAAAGGAGTGAGTTGCAATAGTCGAGCCTGGATGTAATGAATGCATGAATTACTGTCTCCAGGTTATTTTTGGACAATATGGGCTTCAGCTTAGACAGTCGCCTCAGCTGGAAAAAGCAGGATTTAACAATCATATTTACATGATTGTTGAGTTTCAGAGAAGGGTCAAGTATCACTCCTAGATTAGTGACTCTTTGTTTCACTAACGGTGACAGAACGGATAGGTCGATGCAGTGGTTGGTGATTGTGTCATTGGGAGGAAAGAGCATAACTTCAGATTTCTTCTCATTGAAACTCAAGAAATTTAAAGCCATCCAATCTCTGATGTCAGACAGGCAGTCCAGTAACGGTTGAATAGAGCGAGTACCGTTGAGTCTGAGGGGGAAGTAGATTTGGCAGTCATCTGCGTAGAAATGAAAAGGTATGTTATGTTTCCTGAAAATAGCACCTAGTGGCAGCAGGTATAAAGAAAATAAAAGAGGACCAAGGATGGACCCTTGCGGTACCCCCCATTTAAGCGCTGCCGAGGCTGAACTAAAATCTTTGATGGAGACACAAAAGGACCTGTCAGCGAGGTAAGATCTAAACCATTCGAGGGCTGACCCAGTGATGCCCACCCACTGCTCTAACCTCGCAATGAGGATCTCGTGGTCAATTGTATCAAAGGCAGATGTGAGGTCCAGTAAGAGAAGGCGCACAGAATCACCAGCGTCTGTGAATAGGAGAATGTCGTTATGGTGCAGTAACGTATGGTGCACCAATATGGTGCAGGACAGGGGTTATTTGACCGATGGAAGGAGTTCTGGAGAAGATGAAAGCGGCAGAGTTTTGGACCAGTTGGAGTTTATGGGTAGACTTTGGGTTTAAACCAAACAACAACAAGAAAAGGAAGTTACGGTAATTAAAAAGTAATATAGTACATAAATAATACAGTAGTAAAAGTAATACAGGAGGAAGATGATAAAAATGAGAAGGCTGAGGACAGAACCTTGTGGAACACTCAGACAGAGAAGGGATAGATGAGAGGTAAATTAATAGAATAAGCTATTCCATTCTATTATTCTTATTAAGCTAATAATAATATAACGTAGCACTACATTAGTGTTGCTGGTGCCGGCAGTTGCCGAAGGGGATGGTTGAGGGGTTGATAGCAGAGTGCTAAGTTCGTACTGCTCATGGTTGTCGTGGTTTGGAGTTTGTGCTGAGCTGCTACAATCTCCGCTCCCTGTCCAGGACTCGTGGAGCTGTGAAGTGGCATGGGGGATTTGGTAGGTGGGGCACCCGGTTCTGTTGGCAAGGTGGGGTGCCCTCCTTGATTATTGGTAAGGAAACACTGCACAGGTTATGGAAGTCACTGGGGTCTGTTTTCAGTTACTTGAGTTTAGGAATGACTGATGGTGTTTTAAAAGCTGATGGAACAATACCAGTGAGAGGGGAACAAACAATCACTGTTATTAAGGGGTTAAGGGAGTGAACAGAGGCTTTGACAAGAGTATTTGAAAGGGGATCAGGCTGTCAGCTGGTTGGCTTCGATGTTCTGGTGAGGTGGGATATTTCAGCATATGAGGTAAGTGTGCAGCTTGAGAGTGAAAGGGGAAGGAAACTGGGGGCAAGGTGCATATAGAGTGAGTGGGTAGATGCTGGTGGATATTGCTAATCTTGTTCTTGAAGAATGTATAACAGAGTTACAGTTATCAGCAGAGTAGAAGTGATGATTAAAGAATTTGGTGGGCATATTGTTTTGTTTGTCAGAAAGAACAGTATGTTCTTTGACCTGTACTGATGATACATGTGTAATATTGTGATATATACTGTAATAGTTGGCAGTGGAGAGTAGTAGTTGAAAATATGTGCAGTGTACATGTCTTTGTGAATAGTAAGTCCTGATTTTCTTTAAAGATGTTCAAGCTGCTGACCTTTGGCCCCCAAGTTTAGATGTAAACCAGGGTGCAGTGTAGATGAAGGAGACAGTATGTCTTTTTACAGGAGCCACGGTGTTTAAGAGGTTGTGGACACTGTCAATGTAGTTTGATAGTAGTTCACTGATTTGTTTTTACTGGGGAGAATTAAAATACCAGTGTCTAGAGCAGGTGTGTTAATGATTTTGCTATTTCGTAAAGAGATTGCATGTGATGGTTTAATTTTAGATAGTGAGAGGGTGACATTAAAAGAGATAAGCATGTGTTCAGAGATAGGCTGGTCAGCTGCAGAACAGTTTTGTGGGGCAATCCCAGCCAGAACAACAGAAGAAGTCCAGAACATGCCTTTTGGAATGGGCAGAAAAATCAATGAACTGCTAAAACACAAAACTGTACAAACAAGATTTTAAAAAAAAATCCTTAGTGGGTTATTAGAGTTGTCATTATGTATGTTAAAGTGATCAAGCAGAATTATGTTGGGGAGAGTGCTGAGATGTTGGTGAGGAGGGTAGTGAACTTACAGATAAAGTATATAAATGGTGTATATAGTATTGGGCTTAGGTGGACGACAGCAGGATTGGAGGCAAATAGAGTCTGTAGTGTAGAAAGGAAGATTGGTGTGCCATTTGCATTTTGGCTTCACAAACATAGGCAACTCTCTTGACACTCGAAGAATTCTTAGATATCTTTCCAGATGAAAATAGCTAGCTAGCTGTTCAGCTAAAAACAAGGCTAGTTGGCGTGACTGTCGTTATTGTGGATGTTCTTGCCACTTACTATTCTGGCATGGATATTTTGGGGGGTTTGTTTAGAATAATGTCAAATTTCATACAGTGAGAAAAATAACAATTCAAAAATGATACCCAGTTGAGTAGACAAGTCCCCAATCTGGCCTTTAGCTGGATTGTGTGTTTGTTTGTTTTTTTTACTTTATGCCTATAGGCCTTAATAAAGTTGAACTAAAATAAAGAATATGCAAATTGACATGTATCACCTCTGATTTAAGGAGCAATTTTAGCATAGATACATGGCTGGAATGAAAAAAGACAAGAGATCTCAGCCCATAGATTATAAAAGAACATTATAGATAACAGACAAAAAAGACAATATGAAAGAAAAACTAATTAATTTAGGGAGAGAGAAAAACAAAAGCTTAAACATGGATTAGGTCTTTATACGTAAAATTAGCGGGGATTATTCTCTGAAATGTATTTATAATATTCATATATTTTTATGTAATTTATTGATATCAAATATCTAATTTATGTGGCCCCCATTATTTGTCTAATCTGCCTCTTATTCTTGAAATAATGTTGCTTTCTTACAATGAATTAATTTAAATAATCCCTTTTATGTCTTGCTTAGCTGGTGGATGAATTAATGAGATTCAATTTGCCACTGAAAACACTGAAGCTGCAAATATTTGCAAACATGGCAAATTTAGCCAAAGTCAGATGTTCTACTAAGAAAACCAAACAACTGAGAACAAAGCACAGTTTTTAGACAACTAGTTCTTGCACTGAAGTACCACATCACATATGAATGAGTTCTAAGCCACCACCTGGATTCTGTGCCATGGACACTTTTCACAAGAGACAAAATACATATAAACTGTCAAGTCACAGAGTTTGCCCTCTTTAGAAAAGAAGGCATGATGAGAAGTGATGTCAAGTTAAAGATGCTTACATCCCTAATGACAATACTCTGTTTCAGGCACGTTACCAGTACATTTGGCAACTTTATTAATACCTTTATCAAAGCTCATGCTCAATAATCCAGGTAGAAAATACAACAAAGTTCAGTCAGGTCATCTGGATGGTTTCTTTTTTTTGTTGAGACATTTTGTCTTTCATCCAAAGGACTTCATCAATCTGAGGAGCCACAAACAAACTTGATCCCACAAGCAGCACACTCTCATAGTTGTCCAACCATTTTGCTGGTGATAAGATGGTCTCTGTGGCCTGCCCTCTCCGCCGTCGACTCCTCTGGGGCAGCCATAGCCAAAGTGGTTCAAAATATCAAAGTTCATGCTCAATAATCCAGGTAGAAAATAAAATAAGATAAAACTTTATTGATCCCACAGGAAATTTGTTGCGCCAGAGTTTCAGTGCAAAGAAACATACAGAAGGAATCACACAAGATATAAAAAATAACAGAATAAAAAAATAACAGAGGATATAAAAATACCAGATAATATATCCTGATGCATGCTCAATAATCCAGGTAGAAAAATCTAAAAAAGTTAAATCTGGTCCTCTGGACATTAAAAAAACAAAAAAAACAAAGCAAAACAACAAAAAAATGTAGAAACGTTTCATCTCTCATCCAAGAGACTTCCTCAGTCTGAGGTGCTGTATTCAGCTCAGTCTCTTAAATAGCACCTTCTCAGAGTGGATCAACCAGTTTTGCTGCTGACAACCAAAACCAGCTGATCACATGCTCAAGAAGGACCATCAGCCTAACAATGGATCATTAGCACACTGATGGCTGTTTACTGTTCACAGAGGGCTGAGTGATACTAGCAATAACAGCATTGTAAGAGGGGATAATATAATAACCAGATAATATAATAATAACAGATAATATAAAAATACCAGCAATAAAGTTCTAAACAGGTCAGGTGCAGACAGAAACATTAAAGTGTTTATTGTAGTACAGTATTAATTTTATGTTTCTATATGTTAATGTATCATGTATTTTAGAATGGTTTTAACTGAATGTTTAAAGTTTTTAAAGTTTTTTAATCACATTTTTATTTTTTTTATAAGCCAGATGTCAAAGACAAATCTCCATTTCATTGAATGTTATGGACAATAAAGTTGAATTGATTGATTGATTATTGTTCTATGTGCAGAAAAGGGGAGGAGTTGAAAAGTTTGAAAGTCACAGGGAGGAAGGACTTCCTGTGGCGTTCTGTGGAGCACCTTGGTGGTCTCAGTCTACGACTGAAGGTGCTGTGGTTAGAGTCCAGTGTGTCATGCAGGGGTTGTGATGTGTTGTTCAGGATCTGGAGCAGTTTCCTCAGCATCCTCTGCTCAGACATCTCTGTCAGAGACTGCAGGTCCGCTCCCAGAACTGAACCAGCTCTCCTGATGAGTTTATTGAGTCTGTTGGCATCAGTTTTCTTCACCCTGCTGCCCCAACACACAACAGCGTAGAAGAAGACGCTGGAGACCACCGAGTGGTAAAACATCTGCAGCATGGTCCTGAAGACGTTAAAAAACCTGAGTCTCCTCAGAAGAAAAAGGCGACTCTACCCTTTCTTGTAGAGGGCGTTGGTGTTAGCTGTCCAGTCCAGTTTATTGTCTAGGTGGACACCCAGGTACTTGTAGCAGTCCACAGTGTCCACCTTAGTACTCTTGATGTTGATAGAGTTGTGGGGACTGATCTTATTCCTGTAGTCCACCTGCAGCTCTTTAGTTTTTCCAATGTTGAGTTGCAGGTGGTTCTGTCCACCACACCTCTGTATTAAGCTTCCTGGTCACCATTGATGCAGCCCATAATGGCAGTCATCCGAGAACTTCTGCAGATGGCAGGATTGTGAGTTGTACCTGAAGTCCGAGGTGTAGAGGGTGAACAGAAACAGCGAGAGGACCATCCCCTGAGGAGCCCCTGTGCTGCTCAGTATGGTATCTGAGGTGATGTTCTGCAGCCTCACATACTGTGGCCAACTTGTGAGGTAGTCTCTGATCCAGGTGACCAGCGAGTCATTCACCTGCATAACCAGGAGCTTAATAATGCAGACTAGAGTAGGTCTTATGATGTTAAAAGCACTGGAAAAGTCAAAGAACATGACCCTTACAGTACTGCCTGCCCTATCCATGTGCGTGTAGGCTCTGTGCAGCAAGTAGATGATGGCGTCATCAACTCCAATGCGTGGCTGGTATGCAAACCAGTATGTATTATGTATTAATGTTTCTTAAGTAAAGGTTTGATTACAGAAATCTTTATGCTCTGTGGTACGTAACTATTTATTAGAGACGAATTAAGCAGATCCAAAATGTGGTTAATAATTAAGGGAAATACGTAATTAAATAGCCTGGTTTGGGATGGGATCTAGCAGACATGTGGATGGTTTGGATGAAGCTATTATTTTTTAACAATTCAGAGAGCTCAACAGGACAAAAACAGTCCAAACATAAATCAGGGTCTAGTGACATTTTTAAAGTCATCTCATCTGACACAAAACCTGAGGCGATACTACACGAATCAATAGAGATACGTAGGATTTTTCATTAGACTAGTTATGGTACTGAAAAGGAACTTTAGTTTATTTTTATTCTCATCAATTAAAGATGAATAATATAAAGGTCTTGTTTTACAGTGTGGTTTTTTTGTACGTTAGCAGACTATCCCTCCAGGATAAATAAGATTCCTCAACGTTAATGGAGTGCCATTTTCTTTCTAGCTTTCTAGATGTCCATTTTAAAGTACGTAACTTAAAATTGAACCAAGGAGCTAATCATTCATCATTAATCTCTGATTGATAACTTTCTTTTCAGTGGAACAGCTTTAACAAGTGAAGTTTACAAAGTAGTTGTAAAATTATCAACTAGATGATCTAAGGGGCAGCACAGTGGCTCAGTTGATAGAGCTGCTGCCTCTCAGCGAGCAGGTCCCTGGTTCAAATCCCAGTCTGGAGGCCTTTCTGGGTGGAGTTTTCATGTTCTCTCCGTGTATGCGTGGGTTTTCTCCGGCTGCTCCGCTTTCCTCCCACAGACCAAAAACATGTATGTTAGGCTGATTGGTAACTCTAAATTGTCCCTAGGTGTGAGTGAGAGAGTGAATGGTTGTTTGTCTCATTTGTCTCTATGTGTCCCTGTGATGGACTGGAGACCTGTCCAGGTTGTACCCCGCCCCTCGCACAGTGATTGCTGGACATGGGCACCAGCGACCCCCAAAATGGAAGAAGCGGGTAAAAGATAATGGGTGGATAGATGATCTAAGTCACTGCTCTCTGATGTATTACTCTGCAAGACAGAGGAAAATGATGGAAGAGACTCTTTAAATTTGGTTACAGCATTTTCTGATAAGCATCTGCTTAGGTGAAATTTACTCCCAGTGACTGTGTAGTCATTTAATGCAAACTCAAAGGTTATTAAAAATGGTCAGACACAACAGGACTTTGAGGAAATATTACTAAGTTATTAATCTCGATGTAATAGGTCAGAACCAGGTCAAGGGTGTGATGATGAGAAAGGAATAAACAAACAAAAAAGAAAAACACAGACTATGACAAAGCAGGCATATTGACGGGTTAACTTGAGGTTAACATTAAGATGACATTGTGACAATGTCACTCATCAGTGTACATGCTTATAACATGATGACAAACAAATAATGTCTAGGTTGACCAAATTCAACTGACCAGAAGACTCTGTCCTTGGTCACCCTCTCTTGAAGTAAAGTCCACTTGTGGCCCAGATCTGCTGAAGCATAAAGCTGGACAAAGAGACAGAGACAAGTCAAAAATTAGAATAAAAGCAAAAATCATAAGTCTAACTTGTACTTTATTATCTGTTGTATTCTTCTAAAAAAATAACTCATGGTGTGGAAGACAATAAAATAAGTAAATGAGTTAAAAAATGGAAATAATTAAATCAACCTAGATAATTTGATGGTTTATCAGGTTAATATTGAGCTCAAATATATAATAAATAAACTGTTTGGAGATTGTGTGTGTGTTTGTGTGTGTGTGTGTGTGTGTGTTTTGATGTTTTTATTAATACTTAGATATTGCATTTGCAAAAACAAACTGATTTAGAAACAAATAACTAAATGGGTAAAAAACTTGAAAACAAAGTAGCACTTCTTTTTATGTATTTTACAATTATCATAAGACAAAGTTGCTTTGAAAGCATTTTTGAAAAAAGAATTGACAAGTATGAAAGAACAGCGAGCACATGAATAAATTTATTTGGTCAACTACAATGGGAGGTTTTCTATGAGAAAAACATGTCAGAGAACACAATGGATGTTTTGTTTCTTATACTTGGTATGCTATATATTGCTGTATAATATGCTGAGGCAAGCTGAACTGGGAAGCTCAGTCCTCACCTACTTCTACAGGTGTGCACTGGAGAGCATCCTGTGTGGCATGGAGGCTGCACAGCTGCAGAAAGAAAAGCTTTGCAGAGAGTGGTGAAGGCTGCACAGAAGTCTGTTGGAGTCAGCCTCCCCACCATCACAGACATTTACACCTCTAGATGCAGGAAGAGGGCCACCTGCATCATGAAGGACCCCACTCACCCAGCACACACACTTTTTGCCCCACTCCCCTAAGGCAGAAAGTTGAGGAGAATTAAGTGCAGAACCACTAGACTGAGGAACAGCTTCTACCCTGAAGCTGTTACTCATAAATCCCTAACCAGGAAAAGCCCTGCAACGCCACTTCAATTGGTGATATGTGACTTATTTTGTGCTGCTGATTATCCATGCTGCTGATCTCTTGCCTTTAAGCTGCTGTATTCATACCCATCTGCTCACAACAGACTAATGTTCAGGCTGCTGTTTAATATAACATATTATTTTACATTATTAGTGTTTAGCATATACTTCAGATCCTTATATACTGTATATTTTATACTTTATATTTTTGCTATTGTTGGGTGTACCTGGGACTTTGAGTACACAATTTCATTCCACCTCATGTACCACATGTGATGCGAATGTCAGTAAAGAACCTTGAATTTGATGCAAAGTACGAGTAACACATGGCTGATATAATAAGGTACTTTCTTCATTTTCTTGACAAAAATCATTAGTTTAAAATATAAAAATGGGGGTGGTCAGTTTTCAGGAGAACTCACTGTCATGGTTAAACGGTCTGCATCATTTTTCAGGCACAATATTATCCCTGACACATTTAATGTGCTACCCTTTAGTGATTGTCATATATAAATGAGACAGTGTGGAAATAATTGGATGTTTCAGATTCACTTCAGTGGTTTTGTTCACTTTTCCATTGTTAACAAAAAGTATATCCACGGTGTCCTATTTTAGTCTGTTAAATATGTTTCCCTAAAATGGAGAGAAAAAAAAAAAAAGCATGGTACCACTTTACAATAAGGCTCCCCTTATAGATGGCTAATAAATAGTTTATAGATGCATTATTGATTTGTCTATAAAGACTTTATAAATCATTGATAATTGTTTATTATGTATTAATGAAGGGAGACAAATAGACAAAACTGGCCAGTTTCTTGCCAAATACTGAGCCACATCTGTTCACCTGTATATTTCATCTAGAGTTGTTATATTAAACATTTCAGACTAAGTTACTACCTTGTAAGCACAATAAGCATTTGTAAACCCATTTTTTTAGGATATAATATTTGTTGTAGATACTTATAATGCTGTGATAAAGTACAATATTATTCAGATTGTATATTGTATTATTTCATCATAATGTATATTATACATACATTCATACTGTATGTATATACAGGTCCTTCTCAAAAAATTAGCATATTGTGATAAAGGTCATTATTTTCCATAATGTAATGATAAAAATGAAACTTTCATATATTTCAGATTCACTGCACACCAACTGAAATATTTCAGGTCTTTAATTGTTTTAATACTGATGATTATGGCATACAGCTCATGAAAACCCAAAATGCCTGTCCCAAAAAATTAGCATATCATGAAAAG